AGAAAGCCTATTTAAGGCAACCTTTTTTTTCTAATTAGTACAAATACTATTAATGTCAGGAGTAGAGGAACTGTTGGAGTAAAAGTGAGTGCCAGAACTGTTCTTCCTTCTGTTGTTCTCTTTTCGAGAGTTTCTGATCATGGTCGGTTTAGCAGATTCGTTGAAAACCAAATCGAGGAGTAGTGGTTGAAATGCTGCAGGCAGCGTAGCAACCCGATTCACTTCAACCAACCAACCTGTAGCCGGGTGATGATGGTGACCTTGGCTGGGTTGTTCCCTGCTGGTGACTTGTCCCAGCCTTTCCTGCTGGATCCATTAAACCAGCCAAGTCAAATCACTACGTTCATTAGTGGCATCGGCAGGATAGGGTCATCACACTTTAGTCAGCATCCTTCACCTCGCTAATAGCTGCCCGTGTAATTAGGAGTTCAGGGAATACTTCATCCAAATTTCCAATTAACGGGGTTAGGGGCTTTATGCTGGTATCCCAGCAAAATTATTTAGTTTCAAAAAGTTGTTTGCAAGGTTAACAATTTGTAAAAAAAATTACATAACTGCACCATTTTGATGACAAAAGCAAGCAGCACTTTTACTTAATAAAGAATTGGAAAATTGGAAAAAAAATCTTAAATTATTCAACTGGGTTTCTATTTTGAGTAAGACTCACTTCATATGTGGCTCGGGTTGAGTCACACCCTATAAGTCACACTGCGTGAAATATACTGATGATGTTTCTGCAAATACTGACAATTTTTCTGCAGCAATGCTCAGTATTCCCTGCTTTATAGTCTAGGGTATTTAGCTACCAAAGTAAGCTAATGATTACAGACTGCCACATCCTCATCAAATTTGAAAACCTAATATCCAGCAGTGGCCAAATGTAGTCTCATAGATAAAACCAGCAATGCAAGAGAAATATTTCAGCTATCCTACATAGTTTGCAGAGTACCTGTGTACAATTTTGCTGGTTTACATTTACGTTGTCTCAAAGAAGAAAAAAAAAGCACATGTGGTTTAGTAATATATGGAAATATTTAACAGGTGATTCTGTAAAATGTGAGGAATGCATGTTACATTTACATATTTATTTCATCTTAAGACACAGTGGATTCTGTTCTTTTTGGTTGCCAAACTTTACTTTTTTCCAGTTTGTCTATTAGCTTAATTTCAGGTGTTACAACTGGTGTTTAAAACCATCTGTTTTGGGGAAGTGAATTGAGGAACTTGGAAAGATGTTCACTGTTTTTCAAGACATTTTTTGTGAACCCCCCAAAAAAACCAGAGGTATTTTGATGTAGAAATATATTGAGCAGACCATAATCACCAATGGTGTGGATATTTTTCAGTGGAACATCAAAGTGCCATTTAAGTCTGGGTGCGATTGCTGTTCAAGGAGTTATCAGTACACTCCGTGAATTACTGACATTGGAACAGGTGTTGTTTAATTTCTTAGTGTGTGTCTGTGTGTGTGTGCGCGGGTGGGAGGGGGAAGGGAAGGGTGCCTTCCCACTCTGCTGACCTATTACAGTGTCAATTCTGCGATAGTGTTTATGCCGGCGGCGTTTGATGTAGACATGCCCACCCCTATCATCCGCATTAACAGACACCGTCTGGGTGTGAAGACGTCAAGGGGGAGGGGGGGGGCTGAATTGTATTGTTATCCTCAGAGTTGACATTTCCCTCTGTGTAGGCCTGGAGGGTTGCCTCTCCTTTGCCAGAGAAAACCACGGACCTCCCCCAGGCGAGCAATGTGAGTGGCCCAGCTGCACAGTACAACCCTGGTTGACTGACCTGAGACAGAGAGCAGGGTGGACCAGTCCACTTTGAAATGGAGGGGAGTCATAGCTGAAAAGAAGTTTCTGTTGTAATCCAGCGTGGCTTAATGTGTCAGTTACTGGCACACATCATGGCAGTGTCACATGTTTTTTTATGGCTGTTTATTGAGTGTCCTCATAGATGAAAATTCCACTCAGGAGTAGACCCCCCTTGAAGTTGAATAGGCCGTTCCATGATTTGTTCCGTGTCTAATATGGCCCACTGAACAAAAAAGTTTGTTGTTGCCTGAACCATTAAAGGAATGGGGGGATCAACCGGAAGTAATGCTCCAAAGCACTTTAAGCTCAGGCCTCTTTTTTTTCCCAAGAAAAAGAGGACAGTTCAACGAGTGCCTTTGTGAATGGTCCCATCATTTCCTTTGACAGGGAGTCAGAGTGTTTTTGCAATCATTTTTTTGCACTTCTCCGAGTAGTTCGTCTTTAGGGGCCAGGTTTTTGGACTTTTACCACCAGAGTTAATAATTACTAATCCTTTGGAGTCAGTGTGTCTGGCCCAGTCTGCCATAGCCATTACTCTAACGATATGGCATCAATCTAATGACTCGTTCACGTTCATTTAGAATTTCTTTCTCCTGCTTCTCCAGCGGGAAACAAATAAAATTTAAAAAAAAAGAAATAAAAGGAGTAGTTTTGGGTGTTTTCTCTTCACTTTTTAATACTTTTTTAAAGATGTCAGTCGATGCATTTGGTCTACAGAAATCCTTGCATCTCGTTGGATGTAAAAAACCAAGTTTTTGAGGCAAATTATGTCATAGAAGTATTTAATCTCTTTGTCAAGTCACATATGCTAATACATTTTTGTTGAAACTAATTCATTCCTCAAGTTAAATGTATCTGTATGCATAATCTCCCGTAAACAGACAAATTGCTGGTGCGTGTATTTCCATTTCTTTACTGTGGAGAAACTCAGAGGGTGAATTAATTTGTGGTTATTAGTGCAGACCGAGACAAAGGTTCTGTTATTAAATTTGGGGGGTCAGACATGGATAAAGATGGACAGAATTCTTCACACGCTTTGGATCCCAAGGACCAAGATATCAGGACTTAATTACATGTCTCATTTTGTTGCTTTCAAATAATATCCTGAGGAAACTCCAGTTGGCATGTTCCCGTCCTTTTGCGCTTCATAAATGCTCAAACTTTACAACTCCTTACGTCACCACAAACGAAAATAATCGAGGGGCACAAAAAAAAGAAAGAAAAAAAAAAGAACATTGAACCTTGCGTCATCCCTGCAGTTGGCCACTTAACCACAGTTGATTGACACCACTGGTGTCAGGGAATCTCCGGGATTACTGTTCCGTATCTCGAAAGTACAACAGATACCTAAACCAAACCACATCTCCAGTGGAGCATGGGGATAACAACAGTGAGAAAAAGTGCAGACCTGGGGTCATTTGAACTTCCCAGGGACATCCACCGGGTTTTGTACTCTGAGTGGCGGTCATTTGGAAAAAAAAAAATAAATTGAGCAGTTTGATGCGGGTATGAAGGAGGAAGTAGATCATCTTACCTTTCATGGACTTTGTTGTCGGTGGCTCACTTTGTCAAGTAATTTTTTTTTTTATTTTCATTGAGCTGATGGGGCGTGTCGTTGCTGTTATTAGTTTGATCATGCCACCGACCTGATAGAGTAATGGCACAGTTGGGATATCACGCCTCTGTCGCGACTGTCGATTCTGATATGTGAGAAGCACTGTGTTCATGTGAATGTCAAGACACTTCCGAGTCGTTCTGGTCTCAGATTGGATGATGAAAAGATCAAACGACGAGGCTCTGTTGTCGCTCCATGTTGTGTGCTGGTTTTGCCTCTTGTTTCTTTCCACTTGGGACAAAAATGGCGGGAGGGAGAAATTGAGGGATTTGGGACATGGACAATGCCTGCCCCAGTAAAACATTGAAGGTTGGTCGGACCTTGCTTCGGTCTCATAAACATCCAAATGAAAAAAAGAATCAATCTAAAAAAATTGTTAAGATGTATTTAAAAAATATGAAATAAAATGTGAAAAAACCTCCACTTGTGTTTATTCTGGTTGCACTGTGCTTTTCAAAGCAATAAAATAAGTCGACCGTACATGTATTTTGAAATGCACCTATTCAAACCTGGCGTGCATGCAGTGGGTAAATTTTGTAATGACCTGCAATGCAGTTGGCAGCCTTATGGTTCTGAGCAGATCATTAGAATGCCTGCCCTTAGTCGGTTTGATCCGTCTAGTTTGTTTCCGTTTCATTATGCACGAGTGCACTTCCAAAATGGCTACTCTGGAAACATGCTTCACATGTGCATTGTTATCAGCCTTGCTAGCAAATATATGTATGTGACTTTAACCTGTCGAGCAGTTGTAGATGGTGCTTTTCAAAGACTTTTGTTTGTTTTTGCAAGCTTTTTTTTTTTTTTACAAAGTTGGCTATGGATTTCAACTGCTTTTCTTTTTTATTGTGTTGATAGATATTTTCACCTCACAATAAACATTTTGTTTTTTTATTTAATTAATTTCTAATTGCTATGGCAAACTTAACCCTCACTTTAACTCTTGTGTTAAATCGTATTCATACTAACAGAATTATCTACATGTAATGTGGAAGTGGGCTGGCATAATGACATCTGCCTTGTTGCCATGGTGTAATTTGTGCTTATCCCTAATATTTCCAATGCCAGCTTAATCCCAGATCCACTAAGCAGTACAGTTTTCACGGCACTCCATTAGTGTTACTTGCGATTGTTAGGCTTGAGAGGTATTTGTTCTGCCCCCTCAGCTCCCTTGAAGAATGGTACAGCACGCAGGTTGCCTGTCTAACACAGTGCTAACTCTTTAACCGCAAACTGTTGAAGTGATGTAGGAAAGCCGTTTAATAGCGATAAAGTACCTTGCTTATGGGCACTTGCATCAATTGAAAGAAACTGCATTGTTGTTCATCACACCTATATCTCTGAAGTTGGAATTCTGTTCTGAATTTAGTATATAATGATGCACAGCACTGCGCTAAAATTCCACTTTTTTTGCAAAGCCTTTGAACCAACAGATTGCCTAATCCCAAAATTTGTCTTTTTGTTTGGCGCCTCACCAGGGCTTCCTCGAGGGCAAGCAGCTGACAAAAAGCATTTTTGTATTGCTCATGTTGATTCACTTATCTTTCCACACGGTTTGACCGTTTGCATCTCAGATGCGGAAGGCATCCCTGTGGCAAGGTTGGAGGAGATTGCGGAGAGGGCATCCGATTTGGCATACGGCAAGCAGGACAAAGGACCCTACCAGAGCTTCAGGTATTTGGAAATGGAGATGAAGAAGGAGAAAGTTTCTTTCTTCACAGCCGTGTTTCATTGGCGCAGCTGGACCTCTGACTCGGCTTTTGCTGTCAGAAGTTCACATCCTGTTGAAGTTGCACAGTGTATAGCATCTACATTCCTTCCTCTTTTATCAGAAGTAGGAGGGCTGTGGCTTTCTCCACCCCACTTCCAAATCCTTCACACTCCTAAAATGTACTAGTACCTGTCAGATTTAGTTTTCATTTTAAGCAGTTGGAGGAGGTTAATAAAAGCTGAGTTCGGGTGGCTTGTTCTCATATGTTCATGAACAGCTCAATTTGTTGTTTGTGGGTCGGCCACTCGAACGCCAGGAACAAACAACTGGTTATCGCTGGTAGTTAGTGGCAAGCAACGTGCAACACGGCCGCGTCCATGTATGTTATTCACGAGTTAATGTTTGGATGGGCTGAACTCTTTTCTATTTAAACAGGAACATTCATTTCTGTTTTACGGAAAATAATTAAAAGGAAAGGGGAGGAGATTGTGACTTGTAAAATGCAAAACGCAGTTTAAGCATGGAAAGAAACCCCCTGGGAGCACACAAACCTCCTTGAAAGTCGAGTTTCAAAGAATCCAAAAACAGTCTCTGTGTTTTGCAAACTTCAGCCCGGCGAAGCTTGCCCCCTTGTCCAATCTGCTTTCAGTCCGAGGTGAGCTCAGAATGCAACTTTCTCCAACGAGTAGTGTACGTCTTCCCATCTCTGGGTGGCATTCCTCAAGTTCATCTCAGTGACAGCTTTCTGTTCTCTTTCTGTGCGTTGCTCTCAGGGAGTCACTGGTCAGAGCCATGGTCATCATGAGCAAGATCAGCCAGGCAGTGCAGGAGGGAGAGTACGACTCCAACGTCCCCATGGACAAGGTAAGGAGGTCATGCTTGGGGATTCTGTCCAGAGAGACCTCAACTAATCCCTCCCTCCCCTCCTTGGGCATTTTTCCAAGAACTGCCCTGGCTTTTTCTGGTATCCTCCATGGCGTAGCAAAATAAACATTCTATGTTGGTCGTGGGGCATCGAGTTCCATGAAAATTAACAGTGGCTGGAGTCTACCTTCTTCAATCCTACAAAATCCTCCCAAACCTCCTGATGGATTTTGAAGGGTCCAGGATTTAATACACTGTGATCTGTTGCGGCTCTGTATTGATCACAATGTAAAGGTGTGGCAAGTCGGAATAGTATAATGCTATTTTTTTCTCAGAACGAACGCAAAATGCTACCTTCAACAGTCGTGCTTTTGGTTCTGGTTTTGGGGGGTTTATTTTTTGGGCTGCTTTAAGCAACTGGTGGGCACATAAACTGTCACAGTGCTAATGCCGAATATGCAGTGTTCCATCAGTGTAAAGGAATATTCACATCAGTCTTGTTGTATTGTGTTGTGATTTGGGACAGGACCACAAGGGAACTAACGAGTATTCACATCCTGAAGGGACCTTTTCTTTAACGGAAAACAGTCCCCAAACGTACATGACAGACGCTGTTTCATTAGGGAGGAGAAACACCCTGCCTTGTCCCGTGAGGCAAAAGTCACAAATTGGCAACTGTGAGCACGGCAGAGGGTAACTTTTTGCCCTGGCTCCTGACAGCCGATAGGGGGCGCCGCAGTCCACAAACAGGTCCATCCCCTCTTCCCAACAAGCGTCGGCAATTATTAACCGCTCTGCTCCGATAGATGAGTACACCCGGTCGCACGTGTCATTGACCTCGCCTCTGCTGACTGTGAGTGTGTGATGACACCGCGTGCATCAACCCCTGTCCGTCCTTGTCGTGGCCTGCTTTATGAGCTCTGCCCCGCAGCCGTTTATCTGAATAAATCACCAAGTCTGATTTCAATTAGAGGGAGTTTGTCTTCTTTCTTTTTTTTTGGTAACAGACACAAGCGATAGTAGTAGCCACCGATCATAAGCCTGCATTCTGTCATCTGTGTTTGATTTGACTCTGCGGCATGGTAGAGACAGATACATTTAAAGATGAAATCTTCAGGGCTTTTGAGCTCAGTGCTTTTATTTTGCTTTCCATGCTCAATCCTGGCTCAGATTCCGCCCTCATAACAAAGACCAAAGGAATTTTTCACAGTGCCCAATTCCACATTAAATGTGTGGAATTCACGCCTTCTTGAGATAGTCAAGTGGATCCGCCGTGAAGGAATGTTTGTTGAATGAACGCTTTTTTCATAAGAACCGGGACATTAGGATTCTTTCGCCAAGTAATTGTCAGCTTATTAATGTACTGCAGGCAAGAATTTTAAAATGAGATTTGTTCTTGAAAAAAACCTGAATAGCCCAATTAACGAGGAGTTACATTGGCATTAAATGTTGCACCAAATAAATCAATGAAATGGAAAACTTGCAGTAAATTTGACATTTTTTGACCAGGAAATCTTTTATAATTGTTCCAATTGACACTTTTTATTGCCATATTTGGCCATGGCTAAAATGTTTTTTGCAAAATCTGTAGTTTCAAAGTCAATACAGCAGATATTGGCTGGAAGTTGATCAGTGTGCTGTAAGTTGATCAATGCCGGCTGACACAGGAGAGTAAAATGCTGCATTGAAGAATACTGCTGTCGATGTATAGAAGGTGATTATACTCATAACCTACTCCCAAAGATTTGCACTTGTCAAATGTTCCTTGAATTTTATCTTATTCAATATATATGTGTGGCTTTTGTTCTTATTTTGACAGATTCAGCCTCCCATAGCTCGGCGTGCTATTAAGGTCAAGTCGGAGATCTGTGACTCGGAAGGCTTGGGTCACAAACTGGAGCTGAAAGACAGTGAGATCAAAGACCTAAAACGACAGCTGAAACTCAAGGTGAAACATCAGCCGTGGCTCCCCACTTCAGTCCAACTTGCATATTTACCGCAATCTTGTCTTTGTAATCTTTTTGCTTTGCACACTGAAAAAAGTCAGTAAAAAGCATTGGAGCAAAGATAAGCGTTTATGAGCGCAGCGGCAAGAGTAACTTCATGAGGTGACAATTTAAATGATTTTTTTCCCCTTGCATGGTCTGAATGTGGAATATTTTACGCGAAGCCTGAATAAATTCTTACCTCATCTAAGGGTTCAGTTAATATTTCTGTGACTGCGTAATGGAACTTCCGTTTACCTGTAGAATGAAACTTCTGTTGCTGCAGTGTGTCAGCGTGGCATTTGTTGGGATGACTTGTAATCAGTGATCTGCCAATCAGATGATTGGAAATTATAGCGACATCTTATAAGGGTGCCATAACCTTAAAAATAGGAGTATCACCCGTGTACTTGTTACAAACTCTGCTCTGGATTTGATAATTTAGATGATAATTCGAGCTTTTTCTTGAACTGTCTGTTGTCGCCACTTTTTAAAATTCCATTTTTCTCCTCTCCGACCCCATTCCTCCTGTTTGTATCCACCCCTCCCAGCAAGAGGAGGTGAGCGCCAATGCCGTCCGCCTGGGCCTGGTGGAAAAGAAGCTGGAGAATGCCAGCCGAGACGGAGAGGACAAAGTAGGCAAAGTGGAGAGAGAGCTGGCCCAGCAGCACGACCTGCTCAAGAAGAAAGAGAGGTTCGGAAAGAGCTTGGCCGCCCCCCCCCCCAAAAAAAACAAACAAACTTGCCCTCATGATTTGAATCTGATGGGTCGCCTGGGAACCTCGGTCCACTTCACGTCGGGGTCCAGTGGCACAAGGACCGTTCCGCAGTAGGCACATCAAAAGCAAACTCTAGCCCCATTGAAAGAGAAGTCTGCTTAAATCTGTAATGCAACGGTAGAAAACTCTGTGCACGTGCAGCCGTCAGCACATGAAAGCTGCAAAATAGTTCTTGAACGGCAGCGTTGTCTTCTTGTTTGGTAAACATAACTATCACACCATACTCAGACACAAGTTGTACCCAAGCATTTGGAAACGAGAGGATAGGGGGCTTAGATTTTGTTGGGTATATTTGTCTTTGTAAAGTGTTGTGGTCTTCACGCAGATGTACAGTTGGCTGGCCCAGTGTCTTGCCCGACCTCTCGGTGTCAAAGACGCAGGGCTTGTGCCTCATTTATATTTCAGCCTGCTCGTCACACCTCTGAAAAATTGACTCAAGTGCAACACTGACTCGGTATGAAAGTTCCTCCCCTGTGAATACTTGGTGGTGAGCGTTGCCTCGGTCGCATGGATATCATTGAACCACCAGAGCCCTTCTGGGGGGCTCGCAGTACCCCAAATTCAAACCTGAATGGCTCTGACTGCTTTCCAATGCAGGGAGTTTGAGGACACGCTGGACCACATGCAGTCGGACATCGACGCCCTGGAACGGGAGAAGCTGGAACTGAAGCAACGCCTGACGCAGGTGTCCAAGAAGGCGCTGTTTGAGAGCCTGACCAGCAAGACGGCGCCCTCGGGGATCGCGGCGGTCGTGGCCGGGGCAGCCGGAGGCAACCAGGGTAAATCCAGCAGAAACTCAAGGTCTTTTCAAAGTCAGTCTATTCCCCTATCTGTAATAGATTGTAACCGCATGTTTTGGGTCACTCTGCAGGGGGTACTTCACCAACAAGTCCCACAGGGGGCGGCGTGCCCCTGGGTAGCCAGGTTGTCATCAAGGATTCGCCCATGCTTGTACAGCAGGTATGACTTGGATGTGTGCAACCTTGTCTTGACAAAAGCAGATCCGGAACTAAATCTTTTTGGGGGGGGGGAAATTTTGTTTTATATATGAACCTTTGTATGGCCTTTCTTAGGGTTGAGGCTACATTTTGGTGCTTTTAGAAACTTTCGGAAGGGAAAAAAAAGGAAACACACCCCAAAAACTAAGATCTCAACTGGCCTTCGACATACCTAACCCAAGCCATGTAAACTCTTGACTCAACACACAGCTTGATGAGGGCGCTGTGCAGTGGTAAAAGTGGCTGGAAGACTTTACTTTTCAAAATCAACCCTTCCAAGCAAATTCACTTGATTTACGAAGGTCTTAAGATCCCTCAGAACTACTGAGCATTTTTTTTGGGGGGGAGCAAAATTTCCATAAAAGTTTCATTTTTATGAAATGGACAAATAGTATGTTGCTTCGTGTTCAGCTTCAATTGTACATGTTTTTATTTCCTCCTTTTTTTGTAGATTGAGTCGTTGAAGCATGCTCTCTGTAAAGTGAAGGGAGAGAACGTGCGCCTCAAGTCTGCTGAAATGAAGGTGAGTAAACAGTTATTGAGTCGGGCCGGTTCGTACTTAAGGTGAACGCGAAAGAGAAGCAAATTTTACGTCGCAAAAGATTTGCAGCAAAATGTGTCCAAGCTGAAGTGTGATCAGATATCACAAATAATGTGTGGATTGCTTTGGCGCCAGGTTTTAAACCGGTCTGAAGTTTGGAACACACCACTTCTTTCCCAATAATGTTTAAGAACTACAGCCTCATAGGGTTACAAATGCACTGTCTTCATGCCTGTACATTTGATTTGTAGTAATGCTAAGTACTAGAGTAGTGATTGAAAATTGACGTCTGGCCATTTGAAGCAACTAGGTTAACTGTCCTGTCAAATTTAACAGTTAACCTAGTTTCCTTGCGGTAGCATGGACATGATGGGCCTAAATCGAGATGAAAACCCCCCCAAAATTCTGGCATTCACTGCGGAGAGGGAAGGGCAGTATGTCAAGCTGTTTTTGTGCTTAGCTAATCTGCGTGCTTAGCTGTTCCGTGGAGTTGGCCCGTTATTAGGTGGTTAAGGCCAGCAGAGTTGAAATCACGATGCACACCATCAACCAAAACCTAGTGTTGCCAAAGCCATCACAAGACGTGTCACAAGGCCAATTCCAAAACCAAATGTAAAAACCAGTTACAATACCAGACAGCAGACACAAGACCAGTCATATTAGTAAGAGGACAAACAGTGACAAAGAAATGCTTTCGTTGTAGTTCATTTGAACAGCTTGGGACTTGAATTCAGACTGGAGGCCTTGTGTTGGTCTTTGGACGGTTGTAAGACTACAACACTGCCAAAGACCATTGTCAGTTCTGAATTTATTCTCCCCCCTCATTCTTCTTGTTGGTAACAGCGGATCATGGACACCCTGCCTCCGCTCCACGTGCCCAAGAAGCCGACCGGTCTTGCCAGCCCCACGGGCTTCGTGGCCCTGGTACCATCCACGGAGGAGCCTAGCGAGGCAGCACCAGCAGATGGTGGTACTGCTGCTGCGCCCAAACCACCTGTGGCCAGCGTGGACGCACAGATGGACGTGACCCTCCTGGCCAGGAGAACCAGAAAGCTGCTTCAGGCGAGTCCTCAGCCGTGTCCGAGTCCCTTGGCCGTAGATTGAATGCAAGCATGAGTCTGGGACAGCCACTGCCCTCAGAGTCGTGCGTAATTCCAAGTCGCAGCCAGGAAATTTGGACTTTTCCTTCAGCTGTAGACAGATGTGCACAGTGTTTTTTTTAAATCTCAGCTTCAATCCTATCTTTGGCTTCGGTTTCACAAATTTCAGGACTACAGCATGTGACTTACCATAGGAAAGGAAACGCCACCAGGACAACTTCTTGATTCTCAAAAACTTCTTTGGGATTTCGGAAATCTGTTCCAAGGAAAATCTTTGTGCAGCTTGTACTTACCTTTGCTGCCTAATCATTTCTCGTTTCACATTGATGGTCCTCTAGAGTCACGTCAGACTGCAGCTGCAACTTGAAATGAATTCGGAGGTCAACGTGTCTGTCATAGCAATAAGGTTTTTCCCAAATAATTTCTACAAATCACGGTTATCATTACTTCCATGATGAAAATCATGTATACCACCTAAATATTGATTGTCCGTGTAGGAGTTGCACCACTTGAGTGCCAGCCCCAAAGTGGTTGACATCACTCAACGCAAGCCTGGCATGGTTCCAGCCATCGACAAAGCCATGCCCATCCACCAACTTGTAGACAGGATGGCCAACATGCAGCAACTGAAGACGAGCATAGCGCAGGTGAGATATAATCGCTGTCTCATTGTTGACTGGTCTCTGATCACCAAAGCGTCGGTAAACACAAGAGAAATTCCTCGAGTTCCATTCACGAGGGAAACCCCAGGATGTAGTCCAGGCAAAGCAGGAGAGCTACACAAGAAGTAATTTTGTTTTTTTTCCCTTGTGTCTGTCGCCTCACAGCTCCAGAACGAGATGCAAGCACTGCTGTCCAGCCAGCGACCGGGCGCCCAGGCCAAGACTGATTTCTCGGTCTTCCCGTCAGCCGACTTCTCCAAGGTAAGGGTGAGCTTACTGAGAGCTAGAGGAATTCTTTCTGTCGATACATGGCAGTTGGTGGATGAGGATGGTTTAGAACTTTCTGGTACTAAAAGAAAAACTGTTGGTTTCTGGGTAGTTTTGTGCAAGCAGTGAGTTTTCACCATCTTGAAACTCATGAATACAGAGTCAGATCATGGAAGCATGCTGCATCTACAGGTGACTTTGAGCCATTCAGAAACATTGGTAATGATTAAGGCCAGTTTTCCAGTTTACTGAGCAGGGTTCTTGCGGCCTGGAAAAGTCATGGAATTTTTCAAAATACTGTGTGATTTCTATTCTCAGAAATAAAGTGCATAAAATGTGTGATTGTATTTGCAACTTAAAAGGCTGAATAGTCCAAGAAATTGCATTATTGGATTTGGATTGGATTTTCACAATTTGGTCTTGGGATAGTCATGGAATTTAATTGTCCTTTTTAGGTGCAGGAACCCCGACTCTTTATTTTTGCATTGGTACAGGTACAGACCGAGAAGACTGGTGCCCCACGCGTCGGCAAGCTCTCTATCCCCGTCAGCGGTGACCAGCAGCCTTGTAGCTACTCAGTCAGCCTACAGCAGTCCCAGCTGCGACGGGTCCATGCCCAGCTCATGGCCTGAGGGGGTAGGAGCAGTGTGGAACCGAACGTGGGAACCCGCCAGCATGCGGCCATCTTGTGTCCAGTTTCCCGCCCTCAGCTGCACGACAGAGCTATCTGTGAGGTGGGTGATTGTACCACAGGCAAACTAGTTGTGTCGTTGCCCTGCTTCTGTCCCTGTAGACGTAACGGCAATGATAGCAGCCACTCTATGTATCCGATCTAGTAACTTTGCTTTTAGGACTATCCATTGTTGTCAACATTTTAATAAAGGTCATGAAGTGAAAACTTCGACCATCATTCGGCAAAAGTCACCCGACCCCTCTGCCGACATGTAGCCTGGTTCACAAATTGGGCTTGCGTAACTGCAATGAGCTTCTTCTGTTTCAAACACACCTGTCCCTTTTTTTGTCATTCGTAGAAATGCTGCAACATCTCTGTAAGGGTTAGGATGTTGATAGTGGGAAAAAGACATTACTGTCTGATAGCGTCTGCTCTTCCAGCATTTATTGTCATTTCACAAAAGCCTTCATTAAAGGTCGGTTCATTCAGGCACATGCGGAAGCGAAGCGAATTTGAAGGTCACATAAAAGTTGCAGTGAAATTTCGCACCGTTGAAATGTGTTCAACTTTTGCAAATTCGCAGCCTGAATATTTGATCTGACGTCATAAATTCACATTCGTTTTCACTTTTTTCACTCAAAGTGTGAACCGGCCTTTGCGGCAACTGGTAGAACATTGGATACTTCAGATTGTACTGTTGTACACTGCGTCTTATTCTGTAAAACTGACTATTCACAAAGACTATGATGGAAATTGTTGGCAACTATGGATACGCTTGGAGAACTAGTAAAGCTCCACGAAGCAACTCTTATTAGCGTGACCTTATAGTAAATATTTGTCTAACATACATAAATCTGCAAAGATCACTTGTTTCAATGAAACTCTAAAACTGAATTTTTTGGGAGAGTGATTAATTTAACCCTTTTGGGAAATTTGAGATTTTTTTAACAAACAGGTATGCGGGATATTTGATTTTTTTTTTAAGCAGCAGTTGATGGAGGGATGGTATACAAGATTTGTACAATTATGGAATTTATTCCTAGTTTGATGAGGAAGATTTGAATTGATTTCAAGATGTACCAACACAAATATTTCCATGGTTCTACACATTAACAGCTTACAATTAGTTGTAACACATGTAGTACCACAAAATCATTCCTTTTGTTTTATTGACCTTTATAAAAAAAATCCAATTTTTTTTTGGTGGGTTCAGGGTATCTAGGACTGCATCTGAATCGCTTGTCTAGGTCTAGGTCTTCACTCCATTAGAAATGCATGAAGACGCGTAGACAATAGACCTAGCCGTAGCTCTGGAAGCCTGTTTTGGACATGGCCTGCGTTTTCAGTTAAAACATTTTGAAGTTTGGAAATCCAGTTGTTTTGCTCTGTCAAAGATTTTGGGTTCAAAGGTACTTATAATTTTAAGTATTAAATTATTAACACGTTAAATTTAAAATATTACAGGTCGTGGCATATCGTAGAATTTGAATGAGAAATTGATCTGTCTGCATTAAAAAGCTTTTCTGGTTTAGTGCAATACACTGATGTGTGCATGGAAACAAAAAATAAAGTCTGTGTAGTAAAACAAGATAGTAAAGATGTCATTTTCAAGCAGGTTTGTTGAATTGTTGAATAATTTAAAGCCCACTCATACGGGCTCTGTGCTCATTTACCTCCCCCTGACACCGGTGAGGAGAAAGCCAGGGCTGCCATGCAAGCACTACTGCCCTCGTTAGTCCAGCGCCTACACTACACAACCCTTGTGGCATTGCACACGTGCAGATCACATGCACCCTGCCAAGTAAAAGCACTAAGCATGTGCTGTGTCTGGCAGGGTCAGGGCTAATGCCAAGTTTTGAAACGTCCAAGCAAATTGTCAGTCTGCATGTCATGGCAAAGGTTACTGTTGCGAAATAACTGTTGACATCATAATTCAATGTGCTTTCATGTGAATCACACACTGGCTGTTTCAATAGAATAATTACAAGTTAACCACCTGTGAAACACATTTATGTCTTTCCGGGTAATAATGAAAAATCACTGTCTGAATAAATGGATACGCTTATGGTGAAATTTAAAAAAGAAAATTGGAGTGTGTTTGTCATTTCAAAGGTTTCCACGGCACTGATATTTCTGGTTCTCATTTTATAAACAAAATGTTTACATCCATAATTCCTATCACAACATATTCCTCTTTCTGACAGAGCAAGTCACAAACACGAATCAAACGCTAAATACTTTTCATGTATAAAAAAAACTGTTGTTTATATTTCTTCTGCACACGATATCTGTTGGTCTCACTTCCCCCCCCCCCGCTTTTTAAATGAAATGTATTTTTACAAAACACTGACTACATATTTAACAATCACACTTGCATTCTTTGGCGTTGGAAAAATCATCAATACATGAGTCCGAAAGAGTACAAAAAAACACAACTGACCTGGAGGAAATTGGGTACATGAAAGTTTTTGTGAATATTACAAAAATGTAAAGGCAGCGTGTGAGTTCACGGCATAGGAAACTCATCTTTGGTTGAGTGAATAAAACTCGCTTTACAAATACGGGAAGGCGAACTATACAGTGGAAAACAGTTTGTTTTGGCAAAGCTGAGGTAGATCAGGAATACACTGCTGAATGAATTTGAACTTGAATAACTGCATTTGCAAGTTCTACGGGTCATTCCATGAGGTTGGGCCACCTTTTGTGACGGTGTCAACTGTTACAAAGGTTCTGTAAAAATGAACAGTTATTTCCCGGCATTTGGATTCCAAATTGACATTGTTATACATCTTGCAAGGCCGAATACAGAGGTGTGCGTTCTTTTTTGCAGGGTAAATGACCTAACCCTACAGGTCATGACAGGTTGTTAAAAGTTCTGGATGTAACACGAACGCCGTCATGAATTATACCCCAACCTCATGGAATGGCCCATACCTGAGTGTACAACACTCTTTTTAACTTCAACTTCAGAGTGTTTCAAAACAGTTAACTTGAAACTTGTCAATTTTCAGGCTCAACTGTGTGAACTAACAAAATAAACTCAATGGAATGGAGGATGGAGGTAGACTCACAGCTGCAAAAGACTTCAAAATGAAAGGTTAAAAATTAGGCACAAAACAAACTGAAAACACCTCAACATTTGTTAAAAAAAAATACTGTGAAATAATCTTGCATGAATACCCTGTCTCTCTTTTAGTGTTTTTAAATAGTATTAACCTGATTTGTAACAAGTCCAGTTTCCATATTGCCGCATCAGCGAATACAGTCTATCCAAAGGTCAACAAGTGGCAGTAAACATGATTTCACATACCCTGCTTTCCTAAGTTTCCATTACATCACTCGGTCGAGTCCTCTTAAGCTGTTGTGACGCTCATGTCTCATTCACTAGAAAAAGCCACTTCTGCTGACTGTGTTTCCCCATAGTGGCCACAGTTTACCAACCAATGGCTTAGATGTGACATGCATTTTTTCTGCCACCAAATGATGAATATGGACAACTCCAAGACAGCCCAAACCCTACACTTATACTGCATCAAACACAACCATCTTACTGGGAAGGTGGGGAATTTTTTCAAAAAAAAAAGCATATATTTTTTTAACCATAGTCGTGGATATCTGTATATATGTACACGATGGAATGGGAATGCTGTCTCAGCAGCTTGGGCACGATTTTGAGGGGAAAGTTGCCATGTGCTAGTAGGTGTCTGTATCCTTGGTCTAGTAACAAAAACCATTCCAATTGACTTGCTGCTGTCTTTCCCATTCCATACGCTGTCTTCGCCTGTCCTCCAATTCTTTCCAGAAGGGTGCAGCTCTCCAAGGGCCCCCTGGACCGCTGTTGTATCTCCCACCATGGCCCATGTTTAAACCCCCAGTGTGCCCGCCACCATATGGGTTGTACCGCGTTGCCTGTCTGTGCTGGGCAGCGGGTCGCATGGGGCCATTTGAGGCATTTGCATTGCAGCAAATGGAGTTGATCGGCATGGGTGGGGTCGGGGCAGGATGTTTCTCTACTTTGTTATTACTGGATGGGGTCGGTGGTCTAGTGGTTGTGTTTGATGCAGGATTTTTGCAGGTTGGGTCTTCTTTGGGCGAGGCAACTTTGTCAAAATCTATGAACTGGTTTACGTTACCCCAGTCGTCCCCGAGGCTGTTTCTTCTTGCACGGGGAGCTTGAGGCGGTGCGCTGAGGGCGATGTCGGTGTGGAAGTTGGTCTCGGTGATGTCAAACACAACGGGACTCTGTGGAGGTACGCTTGGAGGCTGATGCCACGCCTCCAGGCGACGGGGCACGCTCAGCCCCCAGGCCTCCGAGATGTGGCTCAGGATCAGGTTGGACATCCGCCGGTGGGCCTGGTGGTTCCAGTGCACACCATCTGCTACGCGTCGGTGCAGCTGGAAGCGGAAGTAGAAGTGCAGGTCCAGCACGTCAAAGTCGAAGGCCGAGGCCAGCTCCTTGGCGTAGAAGTTGCCCTCCATGACGTCCAGCCGCAGCGTCTCTGACAGAAACTCCAGCTCAGGCAGGAGGAAGCCGCCCCGGATCTTGTTGGCCACGGGCAGTGCCGTGTTCCAGAGGAACAGGCAGTCGGGCTCCAGCGTCTTCTGCATCCGGTAGAAGGTCTTCTCCAGGTTGGTCTTGTAGGCCTTCATGCTGTTGGGACCATAGCGGGAGATGTCCCACAGGCAGGAATTCATCAACACCACGTCAGGCTTTGGCTCCTTGGCCAAATCAATGAAGATGGTCTCCACGTATTTGTTGTATGCTCTTGTAACAAAATAAAACCTACGAAAAAGAAACTCATCTTAAAGAGACACAAATGAGGAAAAGGAATGCACATTTAAATGATCAACTACATGGTTATTGCAAAAAAATGAAATGAAACCAGAGAGTGAAATGTTCACAATTTAACAGTATGATCAACGATTACAACAGATGTATGTGGCCTTAAAGTTAGGGTTGATAACTCCCAACGAATGGGTCGGGGTTCGAGTCCAACAGCCCAGTGACATGTTGTGACTTTTAGGCAATTTACTTTATCTCTGTTTGTCCCTCACCACTCAGGAGTACAAATGTGTGCCTGTGAAGGCAGACAGAGCTCTGGTTGATCAGCAAAGTTGTATCTA